TTGGTGTTATGTATGAATATGATGTTTGTGACGTTACTCTGAGTGTGCATCCACACCGGACAAGCTGAAAAGTTAGCTTGGCCACGGTGGGAATCAAACCCGCGATCTTTGGGAGACTAGTCTAGTCAAGAAATCATATGATATATAGTAAATACAAAGCTTTGGATTGATAAGGATGCAACTACCTGAAAAATACAAGGAGAACATTCGACGTTTCGAGCGAAGGCTCTTCGTCGGGAATTTATTTAGCCCACGAAGTTAACTAATCCAAAGCTTTCTTCTTATTGCCACTCCCTACACTAGCACAGACTGTTCAGTGTTCAAGACTATATAGTAGTTAGTTCTAAAGTACCTCCATAGTCTTGTAACGTTCCTCTATATTTTCCTTTTGGTGTTGGGTCAGACTCAGCTGACGCTGAAGTTGTGATATCTCTTGGGTTGAACCTGAATATAAAGCACAAATTCTATGTTGAGTGGAAAGCTATACCATACCGTGTTTCTGAAACATATCTTGGGGGGGGCTTTATTGGTCCAATGTTACGACAAAAGAAACGAGATTACACGGAGAAAATTTGCAAAGGCATACTTTAACATATATACTGGGGGAGGGGGTGGGGAACATTTGGCCTCGCAGGCACAACTAGTCAGTGGCTTAGACTGGGCCCTTGGTAACTTACCCTGAGTGACCTAAATCTTACTTTGGGGAGCCCAAACTGGATCATAATCTTAAGATATATACTGGTTAGCGGTACAGTACCAGAGTTCAGCAATTCTTCATTTTGCTTCTGACTCTGTTCCAGGCTCTTTGTCAATCTGTTCACTGTCTCAGCACGGTCCAGTCTTACGCGGTCAGCTTCCTTACGTGCGTGAAGCAGTTCATCGTGAAGACGCTTGGATTCCTCGTCCTGCGTGACGACGAAGAAATGATTGACTCAGTTGAAGTTTATTTATTAGTTTCTCACTCATTGGTCAGCGGATTTCCCAACAAGCTATAGACCCTTTGCACTGACGTCACAAATCCTTAGAGTGTCCTCCAGATGCTCCCTAACAATATCTGTTCGGGTACAACAACCACATACAGCGCAAAAATTAACCATTTTAATGCAAAATTATTATAAACTTTTACAAAATTTGCTTTGTTTACAAAAGTTATATTATGCATAGATTGCTAATTTGTCCTCCAGATGCATCGTCACCGGCGCTGTGACGTCATGTGCAATGGGTCTATTGCCCAATTGACAGGGGATCCGAGGTACCTACGATTTAACGTCCTTATCCGAGAAGACGCGAAAATCTAACTATTTCCTGATGTCAATATAAAAGTAGCTCTTTCCCTTCAATTACTTTAAGATCTTGAGTAGAGGTCCGACCAAGGATGGGATCTCGGGTCTCCCAGCTTGAAAGACAAGCGTGGGGACTACGACACAACAAGAGCTGGCTGGAGCCTGCTCGTAGGCTACCTAGCTGGCGGGCGGACCGTACGACTCATCAGACCAACTCACTGAGCACATACTAAATCTCACCTTCCACATTAATGAATTGTTCAGATCATCCAGTTTCTGTTTGAGACGAGTAAGCTCTTCCTCGTGTCTCTTTTTCGTTGCCATGGCAACATTCTCGTGCTGTTCACGTGCACGAGATAATGACTCAGATTTCTCTAACTGCATCAACTGCTGGTGAAGACTTTCAATCGTTTTCTTCGCTGATTCCAACTCACATTCGATCTAAATCGATTGAAAACATTTGAAATCCTGAACTCATTTTTGAGCCGAAAGTGTTTATTTTTAGCGCGCGTAATACAAATATATACAAAATTTGCGTACGTCACAGGGCTATATTTTCTTCATTTTACCACAATTCGCAACCAATCTTTGCAGTTTTACTCATTCTAAGATGCTCTTCCCAGCTGTAGAAAAGTCGATTCGTGGCAAGTCTAATAGCAAACTTGCCTCATTCCTTTCATTATTCATTCGTTCTTTTTCAAAATCGGAATTTTGAAGTTTGCGTTCCAGCTCATCCATGGAGTTCTTGTGGTTCGTCGCGATCTCCTGCGCATGTTCCAAGCTTGATGCCATCCCGTCACGTTCACCTAAACACAACGACTTTCATTTTCCAATAAGCTTTCAATGTTTCCCTGATCACAGTAGTATCTGTAGGTAAATTCTGAGTTCTCAAAGGTATGTAAGAAATGTTTCAGGGAACTAATTCAGTGTTTAACATTCATACTTGCTGTTTAATACATTTCTGACAAATCCTTCAAAACTTAGAATTTACCAATGCAAAATTCCTACTGTGATTACAGAAACTTTGATAGTGTAATCCAGACTTTAAACCAACCAGTTGGAAGCAACCAATTACACAGTGTACAGTACCTTTCATTAAAGCAAGCTGGTGATTCAAGACTCGTATCTGTCTTTCATAATCTTTTTCTTTGTGTGCTAACTCATTTGTGAGTTCCTCCAGCTTTCTCTTGCGCGCACGATGAAGAATCTGTAACTGCGCTAACTCTACTGTGGAGGGTGAAACAGACGTCTGTCCAAGCATGACTTGGCTTTGAATTGCATCATGTTGTGATTCTGTCACGTCTGCCCCACGTTTATATCGAACTTTAAAGTCATCAATCATGTCTGAATCTGCGCTCGTGGTAGTCTGAGAAAAAAGTATTGAATATATCTCAACTACAGGGATAGGATAGTGTTTGTAAGATACTTAACTGTATAAGTAGTTTGTGTCTGAAACATGAACATGAATAAAGGATGGTTTACACTATCAAAGTTTCTGTGATCACAGTAGGAATTTTGCATTGGTAAATTCTAAGTTTTGAAAGATTTGTAAGAAATGTTTGAGGGAACTATTAAACACATCTCAAACATTTCTTACAAATCCTTTACCCTGTAAGCAAAATTTCTACTGTGATCACAGAAACTTTGATAGTGTAAGCCAGCCATTTAAAACAAGTCACAAAAATTTTAAATTTCCATGTTTATACTTCATGACTTCATTTTATGTAGTAGTCTTGTATTTGGTGGCAAATAAATAAATTAAGAGATGTAGAGTACATAGTTTAATTTGCTTGTCAACATTTCTGAAGGTTTTCTGCAGCCTCCAAACACTTACTGAAATACACCAACAAACAATATAAAATATCAATGTATTATTTGTTCTAGCACCTGGTGTATGTTAGGCACTGTTCCTGGTCTTGAATAAACAACATTGAGGTTTTCATCATGTGCAGTATAGACTGTGGTACCATGATATTGTTCTGTACCAGAGTACCCACCACCATAATCACCATCATAATCACTGTCACCAGACTCAGGGTCATCACCACCATGGTATATATACTGTGCTTGATGTTCATCACTATCCTCACCAAATCCACCTCGATCCTCCATGTAACCATAACTACTCGGATGAAATCCCCTTGGCACAGATTCTGAAGATGGGTTAAGATGTGTGGCAGATGGTTCGGGATGGTGTGCATCGTTTGGCGGAGGACTGGTTGCAAACCTCTGAATGAATTCTTCTCCCCGTTGTGTTAAAAGCACAGATATCTTGTTCATTTTGGGATACCCAGGTTGTTTGTGCTGTGCCCCTCTTTGCCCCTCAGTGTATTGTGTCTCTCCTAAGTGTTGCTGATCGTGTGATTGGTCGGTTTGAAATTCTGGCGTTTCATGGCCTTGGGTTGAGGTACTGTGGCCCGGGGAAGTAAACGAGATGTTGTCATCATCAAGTAGGTCGTCAGGAAGCTCGTTAGAAAGTAATTCATGAAGCTAAAGGGAATTAATATTATTCTAGACATTTGATATTATTTATGCTGGATGTTTACATGTAGATATTTCTAGGAAACAAGCATGTACATGTGTATTAATAATCATACATTCTAACACGTGTATTAATAAATACATTCTAAGAATGATGTTTAACCCTTTGAGCGGCAGCGCTCACCTTGATGAGTAAAATTGTCTGGCGTGAGACATAGTAAAAAGTGGGTGTTAATGGGTTAAAGTAACGAGTCAAAATGTACAGTGAGAAAATTTTGTGAGTACACAACAGAGATTGAATGTATAATATATAAGGAAATTAAATTAGTATAGAATAAATGTAACAAGCTGATCTGACCTCTCGTTCCCTTTCTGCATCTTCCTTGTCAAGTTGTGCTTCTTCATCATCACCCAGACCCTGCCAGCATGTGGAGAAATTGAGAACAACTTAACTCCTGTTGAACATTTTATATTTAATTTTAAATTTATAGTTTTTTGATGTTGTACGTATGCAATGAATGGCTAATTTCCTGTCTTTAAAGCCTTTACATTATAACACTCTATTGGATAGCTTTGTCGTTGCAAATTGCAGAAAATGTGTGTAAAACAGACTACAGTAATGCTTTAGCACAGTATAACACAAAACAATTTCTAAAATCATATAAAAGTTTATATACAGCACAAAAACAGCAGAAAAATAAGCGCTAAGCTAACCAGATATCAACAAGACTACAGTATATTTCTTTTAGTTGCTATCAAACGGACAATACGATTAATAATTAAAACATCATAAATATACCTGCACGTCAAAGTTCACTTGGCTCAGGCCTGTCATCTATACTATTGAGAATAAAACACCATTTTTATGAATTTCATGCCAACTTTTCATCTTTAGAGGAAACTCCAAGCCTTTATCTTTATTACTACATAAAATTTAGTTGTGATGATCAACGTTAAAGCAACGAAAACATTGCTAACTTTGAGCAACTTTAATGAGACGAACAGGCAGCCATTTTTAATGTAGTCTGAACTTCGCGCTTTATTTGCGTCACGCACGGACACGCAAAACGAACCAATCAAAAACGAAATGCATTGTAATAATATCTACGATCTTTTTTAATTTTTATAATACTTATATATATTTTTATTTTTCTAAAGAGATGTGTTTTACCAAAGTACAGATCAGTCTTTCATTTTTTAAAATATTAGAAAAATATATCACATATTAAAAAATATCTCGGGACAACAATTATTAAAATTCATGCAAATTAATTATCCTAATTATTGCAGGTGAATGCATAATTATACCACACGGAAGAGAAAGACTGGCACTAGTATAAAATTTCCATAATTTCGCCACGTTTCGTTGATATAAAACTTTGAGTATTTTGGAAAGTTTGTTGTCAAATTTTGTGTATAATTCTGTAGATAATACTTATGATTCTTTAAAGAACTGGTTCAGAATGTATTTACGTATATTTGTGCTGTGTGTATTCATTATTTTTCTTTCCATTGCGAACGCAACTGAGCTAACTTTTGAACTGGAGGATAATGCACGACAGTGTTTTCATGAAGATGTAAAAAAGGGAACCAAAGCTACGTTAGAATTTCAGGTTTGTGGCTTTCCTACATACTAAGAGTTGGAGGTTATATATTTTAAAGTATTAATACATGAAACATGTTGGCAAGTTAATTTAATATCATAACAAATCAATTTCATTTGCAAGCATAGAGGAGCCAGCCCCCTGAAAAATCTCCCTCCCCCCTGCTGCAATGCACCCTACTTTATTATTTTACTCTGTCTAACACCTGATAATTTTACTTGTCAAAGGGAGAGTGCTGTCACTCAATGGATTAATAAGACTGCCCATGTGCCTAGTTAGTGACAATACACCCTGATGTACCCTACTTTATTATTTTACTCTATCTAACGCCAGACGATTTTGCTCATCAAAGGCAGAGTGCTGCCACTTACTGGGTTTAGTGGCACATTGTCGCCGTCTTTGCCATACTTGGACATTTTAAATAAATAACATGTTAAACTAATCACCAGGTTATCAGCGGTGGTCAATATGATGTTGATGTCATCCTAACTGGACCAAGTGGACACAGCCTGTACGACGAGAGAAAGAAACAATATGATAGCCACACATTCACCGCAGAAAAGGACGGAGAGTATGTGTTCTGCTTTAGTAACGAGTTTTCAACCTTCACACACAAAGTCGTGTACTTTGATTTCCAAGCTGGGGATGAAGAGCCCAAATGGAAAAGCATGGGTGGTGAGAATACGGCATTAACATCACTCGAGATGTCATCCGTCACCATGCACGAGTCGTTAAAGGTAGGTGTATATCTGGACAAGTTTGTTAACCCACTAATTGGCTCGTTAACCCACTAATTGGCTCGTTAACCCACTAATTGGCTCAATCCATCAAATGGAGAGCATATAAATAAAGTTAGGTATATTTATCATTTGCTAACGATATTTCATCTTATTTTCCAGGTTGTTGTTGACTATCAAACCCACCATCGTCTCCGTGAAGCAACTGCCCGCGATAGAGCTGAATATCTTAACGAGAGAGTACAGTACTGGTCTATTGGTGAATCTGTTCTCATTGTCATATTAAGTATTGGACAAGTTTTTGTACTGCGAAGATTCTTTGCAGAAAAGCGATCAAACATATGAAAGCTTAGTTTTTGCAGAAACACAACCTGAAAGACTTTAATTAAACTTTGTAAAGCTACTGTACTTGGAAAGATATTTAATTTTATCATAAAATAGTGGAAAATATTTTGCAAAAAAATCCCATTTTCCCTTTTGCAATAAATGAAGAACAATATAGAAAATAATTTGTGTGTGTGCATATTTTCTTTGTATTGTGACATTCTTACCTCTACAAATTACGTATATTATAATTACATCATTAATTTATAATTACCACAACATAGACATCACGAGTAAGCTCAATGAAGCCTGTTCTCTTTAAAAATGTGTCGGTTTTGAAACCACTATCAAAGAACTATACAAATAATTAAATCCCCAAAAGGCATAAAATTCCCAGAAATTTTCAAGCTATGTTGGTTTTGAAATATAAGAGTTGGTTGTTCAAGGCCAATTAGCTTAACTCTGGCTTAACATGAAGTTCAGAGCATACTGCCACAGCAGCTTGGAAATATTTTTTTCAGAAATCTTATCCGGATCATTAGAAGTTTAATTGTCTAAAGTTTTGAGACAAAAGTGACATACATACAGTAAACCAAAACAATGGGTTAAATTTAACCCATGGTTAGTGCTAATCATGCTTTGAACAACTGGGCCAGGCTTTGTTATGACATTATGTGGTTGAACAATGCTAATGTACTAAATTACAACATTTCTACTATATTACATTTTTGTGTTGTCTAACATTAAAAATATTCATTCTTGCTCAACAGTGGTGCAAACATGTAAGGTCAAAAGCCAAAATAATTTGACACTAACCCACTGCTAACTTCATTAACTCAACTTCATATTCTCCCTGGTAGCATGTAAAACTCTTCATAAATATTGGTCACCTTGCCAGGAAACCACAAATCTACTAGAAATGAGAAATTTCACCTCGCGTTTCATCCAAGTAGCTTAATTTGCATAAGTTTTGCGCGAATTGTACGAAATTGTGGGCGATCTTTGGGCTCGTATTCCCAGCATTGTTTCATTAGGTCATAAATAGCTGTGGGCGTGCCCAAAGGAGGTGGCATGCGATAGCCACGATCAACCTGTTCGCGGGTCTCCTGTAAATATAGATAATACATGCATGAGTAGACTCCTCCACAGGCATCGCCTTAGGATTAGCAGGCAAAATTTGCTTGCAGGCAAAAAAATTGTATTCTAGCCCTTACCTTATTCCCCTTACCAGGGTAGGGGGTGTTACCAAGAGAGTATGTCTCCCATAACAGCACACCAAAGCTCCATACATCACTGGCTGAGGTGTACTGAGTATAGTTGAGTGCTTCCGGTGCCGTCCACTTCACTGGGATTTCTCGCATATTCGAACATTCATATAAATCTATAAATTATGAAGTGTAGAAAAAAAAACTTGTTAGAAAACAAACGTATGGTGTGAATCATTTAGGCTTTGTGAAACTGATTTTTTACAGTCTGTTAAACTTAGCATATTATGGCCTCTGTAGGAAGAATTGTTTAGAGCTGATAGAGCTACCCAGTATCTATAAACTTGGTTTAGATCTAGAAAACAACTATCCGTGTAAGGAGCATACCTGTTTCTCTAGACATGCCAAAATCAGAAATCTTCAATATTTTCACTTTATCCAACAGACAATTCCTGGCAGCTAAATCACGATGTATGCAACCATGTTTTTCTAAGTATGCCATGCCATTGGCTGCATCGATACCATACTGTAGTTGTTCTTGGGGACGAATCTCGTTGCCATGATTACGTAGGTAGTTTAGAAAGTCACCTCCAACCATTAGTTCCATTACTAGTGAAAATGGCAGAACCAGAATAATTAAAATATTTGAGAGCAAAATGTAAAGGTACCATCATCACTATCACCATCATCACCACTAACACAACCATCATCACCTTCACCATCACGACAATCATCACTTTTGTGATCATCATCCTTCATCATCATCACATTCACCATGATCATCATCACCTTCACCATCACGACAATCATCACTTTCGTGATCATCATCCTTCATCATCATCACATTCACCATCATCATCATCACCTTCACCATCATTATTACATTCACCATCATTATTACATTCACCAATCACCATCATCACATTCACCATCATTACTAACACAACCATCACCACACAAACTCACCAATATAAACAGGCTCTTGGTCAACCACTCCAATGAGCTTAACAATATTTGGATGAGCGTACTGAAACAATATCTCAGCTTCCTGAAGAAACTTATCCCTCATAACCGATGTTACATTATCCCTACAGGTCTTCACCGCCACTTCTTCCCCAGTGTCTTTTAACCGTCCTTTCATCACGTCACCAAAATGGCCACGCCCTAGTTTAGTCTCTATTACAATATTGTCATGATTCAATTTCCTTCCTGTGGATTTTGGACGTAGTATGGGATTCTTGAGTAAGGCATTGCTCTTCTTCGTTACTGCACACTGATGCTTCTTGTGAAAATCCACAAGATGCGTTACCGTCGAATAAGCTTCCCCTTCTAGTCGGAATTTACCCTGGAAAAAAAGCGACAACGTCTTGACGAATTTCAGTAAGCTTTACGAAGAGGTGGTGGGCCACCCCACAACTGTTCATGCTTAATATACTAAGTAGAAAGAAAATTAAACTGCGACAGCTTATCATCACCAAGTACTTACTGATTCGTCCTGTTGAATAATAAAATGTCGTATGCCATCCCATTTGGCGGACAAGACATAATTTCCTGGTTTTCTTTTACTCTCTCGTACTAAATAATCACCACCGTTTTTCAGCAAAGCTTCGGTTTCTTCTCTAGATATCATTCCATGGTACCACAGTTCATCTTCCAGAGGCACGTCAACTGGCTATGTAAGACATTTAAAATATTTGATACAATACAAGGTTTGGTTGTCGTAATTATCTGGCCGTATGCTTCACGTTTGAAGGGCATTACGTTGTCGTATGTGAGTTGTGTGCTTGATTTGCACAGTACAAATTGCACAGTACAAGTTGTGTGCTTGATTTGCACAGTACAAATTGCACAGTACAAGTTGTGTGCTTGATTTGCACAGTACAAATCAAGTTAGTTGTAAGCAGGTTGCATGCGACAGTGTTAGGCAAGCTTGCAGTTAAACTGAGTTCATTTGAGGCAAGGCATTGGTTGATTTGAGTCCAACTTCAGCTCAACCGCGGTTGGTAGATAGATAGATAGTTTATTTGAACTTCCATGGCAGCATACACTGAATTGCAGAAGTTTTACATTATGATTAGATAGATCAACCGGACTGACGTGAAGCAGACCGAGGTAGACTTTGAGCTTACAAATGGCGCTTGAGCAGCCGCTATTAGTCCATACCTCATTAATGATCTGCCTCCAGACCTTATGTACCTAACCCATCCTGTCGACTTTCCCTGTGGGAGGAAACACGGGGTACCCGGAGAAAACCCACGACTTTCGGCAGAGCGTCGACTTACTCTTTTCACATTACGATTTGAACCTGCGACCTTAAAGGTGAAAGGCAAGTGCGCTAACCACTTCGCCACCGAAGCCCCAGGTTGTGGTAAGACCATTGGGTAAGACTGCGTTCGATTGGGATTAGACAATGATCTCAGCGTTCAGGTAACAAAATATCTTAACTGATAGTCTTAACTGATAGTCATCTCACAAAATATCTTCCTAAAATCTGACAATCGCTTTTACTTCAAGTCAACTGACATCAAACGACCTTCATTTAAAGCCATGGGCCTGGGTACAAACCTCATCATAATCATCGGGATCATCGGCATCACTATCATCATCATCATCATCATCATCATCAACCCCAGGTCTGGTGGGCAGCGGTCTGTGGCTGTCAGCGCTGTGGCCTTGAAAGTCACTGTCAAAGGTATATGGACGCTCTTTCTTTGTAGGTGAAAGCCCTTTGACGAGATTGCTTGTAAAACGTTGCAGAGTTCGTCCCATTACCCCATTCGTTCCAAACGATTCCTTAATAACATGATAAAATGCTCAAGTTAGTGCTAATCCAGCTTTGAATAAGCAACCACGGCGCATACTTACTGAGCTAGCTGAAAGTAGTGGATCAGTAAACTTTAGTGGAGAACCTCCATCTAATTTATCCAATGCACTGCTAACAATTACATGTTGTCCCTTTAAAGAATAAGAAATTATTGTGAAGGGCATTAATACAAACACGCAAAAGCCAAAACGCACAGTATTTAACGGATTATTCATCAAGACACGTTATCTGTCTGACAGATAAGCCATACTTAGTACAAATACAAAACTTACCACAGCTTTCTCGTGCTTACAGCTCAGCTCCTTCAATTCCCGGGACAGGTCAGTTACAGCCATTTGTTTCAGAAATATACTATAAAAAGAATAAAATCTATTTGTAAAGGCAAAGATACTAACCATCCTTACTGAATTTTAAACCCACCATATGAAGCAAGATTGATCAAGGAGCAGAACAAAAGTAGAAGGATTATAGTTATATGACGTAGGGGTACATCTGGTTTTGCTGAATTAATATCTCTTTGAAATAAAACATTTCACTTACCTACTTAAACTACCTTTTGATGTTTCTCTTAGTTCGGTCAAGGTCTGTTTTGCTGCTTGGTAATCTGAACTCTAAAATACCAAAATACATCAGTATTCAAATGTGATAGGCATGCATGTACATACATTGCACCAGAAACCGTATGCTACTCAAAGCTAACCTTTTGACTTAACTCTGCCTTTGTCTCAAACACACTTTTTTCAAATAAAATATTTCTAAAATGGAGTAAAGAAATACAAAGTTAGAGCATGCTTGTATTAACTGTAACTAGGCATTAATTAATGCATGGTATGTGCACACCCAAGTTCTAGTATATCCCATTAAGCTGGTGCACTCTCCCTTGACAAGTAAAATGATCATCTGGTGTTAGACAAGAGTAAAATAATAAAGTGGGGCGCAATGCAACTCAATGAAATATATTATGTAATTTTCCTACAATCTATTATTCTACTATCATGAAACAAATATTAAACTTACTTTGCTTTAAGTTGCTCCAGTGTTAAGTCATTCAGTCCAAGTTCATTTGCCATCAAGTCTGTTGTTGTTATAGTCAATAAAGCTTCATCAAATGTATAGTCTCCATGTTGTTCAAGGGGGGCCCTAGATTATTATTACAGGTTATTACTTATATGTTTTTATTACTAGGATATTATTAAGATGATTCATTCCAGAGTTTACAGTCGATTACAGGGTAAAAATACAGTAGAATAATGCAAAAAATTACATTACTGTAGGTTATTCTTTTAAGCATTTTAGTGCCTTGTAATTTCCTAGATCAGGATAGCATTTCACAAGGTCTAGCCTAATTGTAAACAATTTATCATGCAGACCTTGAATTTTGAGAGATGCAATCGACTCTTGCATGCTTTACCTCCCCCGTTCTCAAGAAAGTAATTTATAGTAGTCACCTCAGGTATGTAATTAATATTGATTAGGGTTGTGATATTGATACAGACAGACACTTCATTTAGGAATTCATTTTCTCACAAGGAAATAAATTTCTAATATTAGTTGAAGAATGTGTTATTCCACTCTTGAAATATTGCAAACTTTGCAATATTATGTATTAATATGATCAAATGTGTGACAAGACTAAGTGAAGGCACTTTTACACCTATCACGTTGATGTAATTCAACACTTGACATGAATCATTGTGTATATAAACCTACCCATTATTGATGATAAATGGTTCATATGGGTTGTCATCTTTGACCTCTTCCATTGAGGAATTTATGGAGTCAGCGAGCTGCCCATATCGTTCTGAATAAGCTTTTATATAGTAGGTTATGTCACCCAAAATGGTCTTCCTGTAAAGACCAAATTCAGAAATGGTTTAGTTTCAAAAAATTCATAAATGCTTGTATTGGTTAAATAGTCAAAATAAATGTGCACCCACCAATCATTAGCCAAGTCTTGTTTGACAGTCTGTAACGAGTTCATTAAGTTTGGAACAATCCCTGTCTCATAATGATTTTGATGTATTGTTGCAGCGCTTAATGCAAGCACATAGTCATTATGATTTTGATAGAGCTTTAACGAAGCCTTTTTCAACTTATCTTGCTTAGTTTTATCAGTTTTTCCTTTGCTGCCTTCCAGCTTTTGCCTGATACTTTCCAACTCGTCAGCGTGCTGTTGGTATGTCACCTTAAGTCTGTTTTCTTCGTCACGAACTGTCTTGAGCTCACTGTCAACACGAAATCGATGCGTTTTATACAGTTTATGTGCTTCTTTCATATGCATTAACAACTTGTCAAGTCGAGGGACGATAGATGATGAAAAATTTGAAGCAAGTTGAGAGAGAATCGCTGTAACTTGAATGTTTTCTGAGTAGAAAACTTGCCAGGTCTGAAAATGAAAATGATAAATCCATTACTACTGCCCACCCAACATTTTTTCTTTCTATCAGTTAATCATTTGGCATTGGATGAACTAATTAATTAACAAAGCAATTATTACGATACATTGTAGTTTAATTTTAGAAAATCCAGGATCTATTCTAAAAGACCACACGAGTCAGAACACGAGTGAACACGAGTGAACACGAGTGAACACGAGTGAACACGAGTGAACACGAGTGAACACGAGTGAACACGAGACAACACGAGTGAACACGAGTCAGAACACGAGTGAACACGAGACAACACGAGTGAACACGAGTCAGAACACGAGTGAACACGAGACAACACGAGTGAACACGAGTGAACACAAGACAACACGAGTGAACACGAGTGAACACGAGTCAGAACACGAGTGAACACGAGACAACACGAGTGAACACGAGTCAAAAAATTGTGAACACGAGTGAACACGAGTCAAAAACTGACGAACACGAGTGAACAC